TACGAACGTTTCGAGCCCTTTTTTTGGGTCATCTTCAGCGTTGAACTACTTGTTACTTGTTAAAATATTCGTATTAAATGTATATGTATATAAAGTCATTTTTGTTAAAAAGTGTCCGTGGTTTTTACATTTGTAAAGCAGCGCTTGGCGGTTGTCTAGATCATCTTTGACTGTTGTCATGTCGTGACGCACCAGTAACGAGTCTTGTTGGTTGTGAGCTCTATTAATTATGAATTACTTGTGTGATTAAATTCTGTTCCGAATTATTGTATTTGTGTAACTAGTTACCTGTGGTCAGTGGTAGTAATGGACTTTTTGATCCAGTAACGGTACGCAGTGTGTTTTCTCGGACTGGTGTTAATGTCTTAACGATCGAAACCACAATGACAAATCGTCATTGCCAAGCTGAAACTCTAACTTGGTTCCGTTATTGCCCGTCATTGTGTGAATAGTGTTATTTCCTTGCCTATTATCGTTCTCGTCTTCAACGTCCTTCTTGTTATGTTCTGCGGCTCGCCTGATGTTTACTTCCTCTATGTGAGCGCGTAGGACTCTGCGTAATTCGTCGATGTTAGCATTGGCCTCAAATTTAATTTCTAATTTTTGCAGTATTTGAGTTAATTGCGCTTTTTTCAATTCTTGGATCCACGACGTTTTCGTATAGTCAATTATGTCTTTACTTGATCCCGACATTCGAACGAAATCTTTTCATTAATTACCGTTTGCTCTACTCGTTTTCTTAATTTTCCGTCTACTCCTTACTTCCGTCTACTCTGTCGCTGACTCCGCTGATAATTAATCGTCGAGTCTTCTTACCGAACCTGTCCTTGTATTACTCCCGCGAATTCCGAGAATTCCTCTTCCCGCGTGCCTCGTATACTGCGGTTCACGAATGCTACGTTAGAAACGTTAATTTTCCACAAAATATGCACTTGGGTTCGACAAACATTGTCCTCGTCGCCAATTGTTACGTGCTGTGTCGCACAGTAACGTACTCTCCCGTTGGGAGCCCGGATATATTACAGGAGTATTTATTCCTTTTAATAACAAAGATAATGTCATATGTCCGTTTAACTTTCTTATGTCATGCGTATCGTTTACAATGTAATATGGCGGTTCAACTGAAATTATATAAATTTTATTAAATGGAAATTAAATAAAATATCAAAAATATGAAAGTAATTATATATATGTAATATACAATATATATATGTGTGTATGTGTGTGTGCGCGTGTGCGTGCGTGCGTGCGTGCGTGCGTGCGTGCGTATGTGTTATATATATATATATATGAAATATATGCAGGCATATATTTCATATATATTCTAATATATCTATTTTATATATTAGATTATGTGTTAAAAATATATTTTGCATATATTATGTAAATATATAGTATTTTCTTATATTTCTTCTATATAATAGGAGGCAAATAATGATTTAATTAGTTATATGCATTCTTATATTTTATATATACATTTATATATATTAAAGTATAAGTATTGATATATTATATAATATATTTTGGGATATATACTTTTTCATGGGGGTAGACTAAATGTCGACTTAAAAAGTTGACTTCAAGGTGACTAAAAAATGTCGACTATCAGCCGGCAAACAGTCATTTGTGCTATGTGGGAAGATGAGAGGTTCCCCACTATTCTCATCCGGGAAAAGACGGCTCGGAAGACAGCCGCGAGCGGAGAAGATAGATCGTGCAGCCGGTCGCCGCACACGCGCCTGAAGGTTCACTTTGCCTTCTCGAGGAAGAATCGCGAACCGATTTCACGAGGAACGCGACGCGCTCTGGTCCAAGGGGAAGCGGGAACGATGCGTCCTCCACCGGGATTCGTGCAGTGGACGTCGTCCCTAGTCCTATTGTTCGCGCTCACGGTCCGCGCGACTTCGACGAAGCAGCCGAATATTGTCTTTATTCTGGCGGACGATTTGGCAAGTTGTCTTTCAAGGTTTGCGATAAGTTACACCTGGTCCAAAAGACCGGACGCCTCGAAAATAATGGGTTGTTAGTATGAAGACACAACGTATGAAGACTCTGTCAGGCGAGACAACTTCTGTCTAGTCCTCATTTATGTGCCGACTGGAAAGGCGTAAAGAAAGGCGAGAGATGTTAAACGCCTACAATAGGTAAAGACTAAATAGAGAAATCTTAGGGCCTGAGCAGAATGGCTGTCTCGTACTCTTAAGGCGTAAGACAGTTATTGTGCGTTAAATATCTAGACAAATCGCAACAAGGGAAACTGTTAACTTAAGGACATAAATGATATCTCAAGTTAACGTTTAGATTTAGTCTCATTTTCATCAGGGATGGAATGACGTCGGCTTTCACGGTTCCGGTCAGATCCCAACGCCGAATATCAACGCACTGGCGTACTCCGGGCTGCTTCTCGATAGATATTATGTCAATTCGATTTGCACACCGTCCAGAAGCGCTCTGATGACCGGCAAATATCCTATTCACACTGGAATGCAGCACGGCGTAAGTGACGCTTTCGCAACATTTCTTGCGTCGTTATTTATCAAGAGTGTAAAACACGTAATATTGAAAACAGATAAGATAATCGAGCACAAATGAGAACAATAGGCAGTGAGCTCTACAATACGATCGAACTTATTCGCTTTGAACCTAAATTTGTCCCTTTCTTTCAATCTTACGAAATAAATTTGTTTATTAAAATCACGATAGTTCGCTGGTATTGTCAGTTTCTTTTAACCGCGGCTGCACCTGTCAGTGAATAAACGCGATTGAGAGCTATCAGTTGGCGGAAACGTTAATTGTTGTTCTGTTTGCAACACGGAGCACAAAAGGAAATATTGTGTGCTTGCACTTTTGCCTCGTTGACCTGGATAGTTCAATTGGAAATTATCACATCGAGAGATTACTACTTTATTTGCATACACGTTTTCAACGCTATACGCGCGTATCCACATGCAAAGCCGACAAAGGACCGCACGGACGGTCAGCTCAAAGCATCCCTTTCATTATCGTGCAAATTAACGACGCCGGCTGAATAATACTCCGTTACAAGTTTCTAATTTGTACTTTAAGATAATTTCGGCAAAGATTAGAGCTTCTTTAACTCCATAAAAATGTGGTGAACATTTGAGAGACGATCTTTTTAGATAACGCGTCCCCTGCCACCCACGAATATTAATGCGACTGACAAGATTCTAATTGAGTTGCCCGTGAAGCGGCACATTATTGTGAACACAGGAATTTCTAGTACAACGCGCGGACTTGTTGAATAATTCAGGTTCTCAAAGGTGCGGAGCCGAGAGGATTGCCACTCCACGAGAAACTCTTGCCGGAACATTTGCGCGAGCTTGGATACAGCACGCACATCGTCGGCAAATGGCACCTAGGATTTTACAAGAAGGAGTACACCCCGACTTACAGGGGATTCGACACCCACACCGGCTTCTGGACGGGTCATCACGATTATTTCGATCACACGGCCGTTGAAAACGTGAGCGATTACACGAGTAAACAGGGTCTTTGTTATTTGAATGCGATAATGCGATAAAAATGCAGCCTTATTGGGGCTTGGACATGAGACGGGGCATGGAACCGGCATGGGATCTGCACTGCCAATATTCCACGGACATTTTCACGAAGGAGGCGATGAGATTGATCGACGAGCACAATTCCAGTCGACCGATGTTCCTATATCTGGCCCACGCAGCCGTGCACTCCGGTAATCCTTATAATCCGCTTCCGGCGCCGGATGAGGAGGTCGCTAAGTTCAATAATATCTTCGATTACAATCGAAGGCGTTTCGCAGGTAACCAACGAGTGACTCGAACGTAGATAGAAATGTAATATAAAATAGATCTTCGCTTAGAGAGAAAATATCATTATATTAAGTATAGATTCTTAAGGAATGGGACTGAAATATATTATATACTAATAGCGTAAGCGGACTGATAATCTTGGAATACTGCTAGGTATGCTGAGTAAGCTAGATCAATCGGTAGGCCAAGTAGTTGAAGCTCTGCGGAAGAAAGACATGCTGCGAGATAGTATAATCATCTTCTCGACAGACAACGGTGGGCCTGCTGCTGGATTTAATTTGAATGCAGCGTCTAATTGGCCACTGAGAGGGGTCAAAAATACTCTTTGGGAAGGTGACTTTATTCGACTATCGATCAACTAAATTAGACGGTTGTGCAAACTTTTTTTAATTGCAATTAAGACGTCTCGATTAACGAGCATCTGCTCGGCAAGAAAATATCTTTCGAATTTTTCTCAATCATATGCTTTTTGTATTCGTTGTATATCGTAATTGGTGCATCTGTATTTTTAAGAACCCGAATTAATTAAGACTTTATTGGACGAATTAACTATGTTATGGAGGTTTAATTTTAAAAATCACGACTTTAGAAGCTGCCTTTAATTTGCGACGTCCGTTAACGAACAATCTTTTCAATTATATTATCGCAGGCGGCATCAGAGGTACAGGATTAATATGGTCACCCAAACTGGTGCGACCTGGCCGAGTAAGCAGGCAGATGTTACATATTACTGATTGGCTACCGACGCTGATAGCGGCCGCCGGCGGTGATCCGGCAAACTTAACTATCGACGGCATGAATATGTGGTATGCGCTAAGCGAAGATACCGAATTACCGCGCACGAGCATTCTCCACAACATTGATGATATTTATGGCGTGTCTGCCATTACGGTCGGCGACTGGAAGCTCATCCAGGGTAAGACCCGTTCTACGATACGTCATACGTCGGGGCGTAGCAAAGAAATTGAAGAGAAATCTTGCCATTGGACCATCGGCTACGTTCTGACATCCGACAGTGACATACGACGTATTGTAGAACAGGCCTAAGAAAGTTTCTAGCCACCAAAAGTATATTCTGTTCCGCAACGAGCTATTGTAGGTTTGGAAACCGCGGGGAGTGTATCTCTTGTCTTTCCTCTTCTCATTCTTGATGTTTATTTAAGACAGAACACGATATACCTGTGGAAAAATATGAGAAATGTATGTATATGATAAATAGTCAATTCAATTCGGTTTTCCGTCTAGGATCTACTTATAAAGGAACGTGGGACGGATGGTACGGTCCATCCGGTAGGGAGTGGGTCTACGACGTGGACGGCGTGATCGACAGCACGGCGGCACATGCCATCGCCAGTGTGGGATTGGGTGTCACTACGGAAGCTGTTCGGATGCTGCGGGAAAACGCGATGATCAAGTGCCCGCCGCGGAATGATAGTCTACCCAGCTGCAAGCCGTTGGAAGAAGCGTGCCTCTTCAACATCTATCAGGATCCTTGTGAAGATAACAATCTTGTTAAACAGTGAGTGGAATACGACTTCGATGGAATTCCGTCGCGAAATTTTGTTCTATTTTAACTCGCGTTCGAACGCTCGTGATTACATTGCCCTGCCTTTTTATTCGCGTCAAAAGGTTTCCAACGATCATCAGGAAACTGCAGGACGAACTGAAGAAGTTCAACAACAGTGCAATTCTACCTGGAAATCTTCCGTGGGACAGTAAGGGCGATCCGAGTCTGTGGGATCATACATGGAACAACTTCGGAGATTACATTAATGTCATGATGAGCGCTGCAACCTGATCGAATACTGTAATCTCAAGGATATTATCTTCGTTTCCCTGCAGAGTGATATATAATACGTATAAGGATTACGCCAGAAAATGTGCTGCTCATGTTAGTCCATATTTGTTATGTTACGAAGAGATCTATACAACTATAAAGATATTTAGTCTTTGTTTCTTTACCTTCGTCTGTATGCGTCGTCATAAAAAAAATGCATGTCATCGATAAAGTATAAAAATATCCAGCAACGTTAAATTAGAGACCTTATTTTATTTGTAATGCGATTTGACCCTATGTATTTTATTGCTAAATTTTTAATATAATTTTAGAAAAAACATGCATGTATATATATATATGTACAGGGTGTTATGTAATACCCGCATCAACGCTTATTATGGGATAGAGTGGACTAGACTAATTGTAAGTCGAAAAGTTCTCTACCATTTTGTAATTTTCGCAAAAGTCAGCGAGTTATTAATTATTAAAAATTGCTGTTTTAGGCCGGCCCACTGCCCAATTCAAACGTGCGGCGAGATCGATCGATCGTTACAACTCTCTGCGCGCCTAGTAACGATCGATCGATCTCGCCGCACGTTTCAATTGGGCAGTGGGCCGGCCTAAAACAGCGATTTTTAATAATTAATAACTCGCTGACTTTTGCGAAAATTGCAAAATGGTAGAGGACTTTTCGACTTAGTCTAGTCCACTCTATCCCACAATAAGCGTTGATGCGGGAATTACATAACACCCTGTATACATTGCGTTCGCTATGTTCATTAGTTACATCACTTTGCACTCATAAAGAATAGTACAAGAAAGCATCTTTCAAAGAGAAGATAAGTAGTCTTATACGAATGTATAAACCCTATGCGGTTTTCTTCTTACGAGAAAGTCTTATACCGCGCGTCTCTCTAGTGAGGACATTCCGAACCACTTCACTTTTGTCTTCCATGTGATTAATAGGGTGGAAGATATGAATGTAGTTTAATTTACTATTATTGTGATTGTATTTACTATATAACAATAATTAACTAATTTACTATTCATTACCTGGATATTTTAACGGAATAATAGTTAAAAGCTTATATTTTATAGTAAATTTTTTAAATAGTTGGCAGCACTGTGTGTATTCTATCTCTATAGTTGCTATTACTAATATTATAGTAATAATTATTATAAAAATGATATTCCTGACTGTAATTATTTTACTATACAATTATAGTTTCAAATACTACATTTTTTTCCATCTGTGTGCTTTCTAACTTTGTAAAACAACGGATATTTCTCTAAGAAACATAGAAAGTGAGTTAACCACAATGGCTACAAAATGGAGATACTGTTTTTTAGATTATGACAGCAGATATAGGCTCCAAATATGAGGTGGCGCAGTTTCTGCTAAATTAATAGGCGTCATCTGTTGGTTCCACCATGAATTTATTACCCTTGGAGTGAAATCTGTTTGGTGAAAAATTGATTGTTAGATCGTGTAATCGTCGCGAGAAAAGATTTGTCATTGAATTTGGACGTTGAAAACCCACCGTCTCACATTAGAATCCTGTCTTATAATAGAGGACTTTCCTCTATTCACTGTTTTCAGTGATAACCCGCTGATTGACTCGTAGAGAGTACGCGAAGGGAACTTGTCCGATCTTGCCACAAATCTAGAGAACGAGAGAACGTGGGTCTCGCCTGTGTAGGAAACACTGGACGACAACAGTCCAAAAGGAATTCAATTATCGCCATTAATTTTTTTCTCGACGTAAGTCCGATCGGTCAAACGTCAGCCAATATTTCACCGAATCTCTCCAACTCTTTCCACCCGCTCTCTCTCTCTCTTCCCCCACCTCCCTCGCACATTGAACGGAGGCACCGCTGCCTCATTTCGCAAACAACCGTCACGCAGCAAAACCCGTCGACCCCCCAATTGACGTTCGCGTCAACGAGCGGCGTCCACGTCAACAGAGAGTAACAGAACCGGGGGGACAAGCGTTTTACGTCCCACCGCCCCTCGCCCGGAGTCCCGGTGACCGCCCTCTCGAGTTCCGAGGGTGGCTTTGGCTGTCTACCGCGAATGAGTGCGCAACCGGCAGCGCATTTTGATCTATAACACGAGCGAGAGGCTATTGTCGATTGGTGAAGCAACACCTGGACCCGGCCGGAAAGCGTGCTGAGGGCTTTTCATTTTGGACCGCGTTGTCCGGAAGAGGGGTGCCGTATGGGAGAAAGCTGGCGACACTCGAGTGTAGAGGGTGGCGGCAGTGCCGTTTTACCAAAAAACCCCGCGCGCGGTATACACCAATGTGATAATAATAATTTTTAATTAAATTTATTATAAATATTCGACCTAACGTTTGATACAAATTCAATGTTTATTTTTATTATAATCAGTATCGCGTTTATGTTTATTATTACAATATTGTAAATAAACAGTTTGCCGAAAAAGTTTGTATCGCGGGAGAAGAATGTGTCTCCGAAATTATTTTACGCTGCGTAAACGAAATTATTTACGATTATTCACGCTGCGTTTTACAAAATTATCGTAAACGTGAGGTAAAATATTGAATTTTAGAAAGAATAAAGGAAAAACGGCAAACTTTTTACAAGAACAATATGCAGACTATAGTAGCATTAGGTTTTTCCTTAGAATTTACAAATGGGGCATCATCACCCCTTTGAACAATCAATATATCTTTCTATTTTTATTTTATAAGTGCTTCTCACAGAGAACGCTCTCCCTATAGGCTAATAATATCGCAAACGATATATTAATATCAGGACATGCCCTGCTTATTTTAGCGTCGTATCAATATCGCGTTACCTTCAGTCGCAGAACTGCACATTTCTAGAATCGCATTTTAAAAAATCTTCAGTAGGGAACAATGATGGGACAATGATAAGTTTGTTACACTATACGTATCAGAAATATTTTTAAAATGATAACGCAACTGAGAACTGAAATCCATAATTTAATTTTATTTTATTTTTTATAAACCTGTCAGAAAAAGGTTTTGAATAACTTGCTGATATTAAGAATAAGATATTATATTCATATCGTTTACACGTAGAAAATTTATTTCAAACATATGCTAGAATCACATTAAAAAAAATCGTCAGTGGGGAACAATGATAAGTTTGTTACACTATACGTATCAGAAATATTTTTAAAATAACGCAATTAACTAAAAACCGTGAAATCGATAATTTAATTTTCTTTTATTTTTTATAAACCTACCAGGAACAATTTTTTTAATAATCAAATTACACATAGCGAATTTACAAAAAAGTCTCGTTTCAAAACTTTAGCTACTAGCTATAGCTATCTGGGATCTACGAATTTAATAACTGCTACGTTTTTTCTTAATATAATACTTTTGGTAGATTTAGTTAAAGCGGATACGAGACAGGATACGACGCACTTTTTGCATCACGCTTAGAGCCGGCCATGGGTGGTGAAAAGGGTCGCGAGAGGGCTGAAAACGTACCAGAAGGACCGAAACGCGCACATGCTGCCGGATCGTTGCGCCTTTGTGCGCGCGCGAAAGGGGTGTTAAGTGTTCACCGAAAGTGCCAATTTCGAGCCGCCGCCATAGTAAATGCCGAGGCATGTGCGCCGTCTTTTCTCTCTCCACTTCTTTCAGCTACGACACGAAGATAAGATCAGCATTTACCGTAAGCGGCGCGGCGCGCTGTCCTCGTTCAAGTGGGAGAGATAAAAATTTCATATTTGCAATATTAACAATAACAAGATTAAAGAGTGACGAGAATTTCATGTTTACGACACCGAGCGGTATCCCGCGGCGCGATTTTACAACTGCTATACCGAACTAGAATACATTTCATATTTGCAAATTTAAAATCGGATCCCCTGAAAAAAATTGCTCGACGATTTAATATTCTTCCGGCCTCAGCATTCTGTATGTTTTGAAAATTATAACAAAAGTGCAATAATTATGCACAATATTTAGTACTACTTTCGGCACTGCTTCAACATACACGAGAATAATTTTGTGAACGTCACAATAAATTATCCAGCGTATGTTATCTCCGCTTAAAGCGAATGATTAAATTTTCCTTTAGCTATTGACGATACGACAAAAGCGCGTATCGTGGCATTGTGTATTAGTTTACACCATGAGATATTTAACGTGAAGCATTTTATAGTATTTGAACATTTGTGTCTCCGAGTAGAAAATCCATGAAATTTTACGTATTTTTGCAAAATTGGAATTGTATCGAGATAAAAGTTCCGAGCGTTTGGTGATTGACGTAAATATCGCCGTGTCGAGTCGCCAGTACGGTGGAATTTCCAATCGATCACGTTTTCGATAGCGAAAAGCTACAACTTTGATGTGCCTTATTGCCGCGAGCTTGTTACCCGCCGCCAGCGATCCGCCGGCGATCGACGGTAGATACCGCAACCAAGGCAGGGCATAATGCAGAGGTCCATTCCGCTGGTGTTGCACGCACCAGTCGATGGTCCTCTCGATAGGTTTCCACGAAGCCGCAGAGGCGGGTGCAATGAAATTATTTGGCGGCCGGGCAATTAATTGCACCGCCGACCAGTTAATCGCCGAAGAAATATGCCACCCCGTCGCAGCTTTAGAAATCCGGCTCCAAATCGGTTGCGTCCCGCTCCAGTACTTTAAAAAGCACTCCCTCTTTGTGCATTTGACGCGTTGGTAGAGTAGATTGATAATAAATGGATATTCTTTGATATAATATTGCATTGTATGCCAGTTAAACAAGTTGGATTTGATAACCGATGGTATAAGAAAAGCTCATATTATTGAATTGAACCAATACGTTCAGTGTTTATTAACATTGTATGCTAATTTGTTGCATTGTTTTCTTCAATTTTTCCAATCGCCTACATTCCAACAACCTAGATTTCGAAAAATGACTTAATTATCTTAATTAAATACTATTTTATCTTTCTTCTACGTTAGCACAAACAGCTATACTAAGAAATCTTTCAATCGCACACAATAATTAATATCCAGTTCTTACATAGAGGAAAGTCCTCTATTATTAGATAGGTTTTCAACACCCAAATTCAATCACAAATTTTTTTTCGCAACGATTACACAATCTAACAGTTAGTATTCCACTAAACAGATTTCGCTCAAAGGGCAATAATTTCACGATGAAATCGACAGATGATGCCAACTAATTTAGCAGAAACTCCGCTATCCCCAATTAGGAGCCTATTTCATAATAGTTAATTTCTCTAAAGAAAAAATTCGGTTGTGAAAGCAACAATAGTCGCGAGAAACTCTCTTACATAATGACTCTTGCGTAAAGACTCGTAAAAAAAGTGCGCCGTGGATTATCACAC